CGCGATTCGCGGCATGGGCTCTCTACATCTCCCCCTTTTTCTTTATATAAGACACGGAGCCCCCAGTGATGTGTTGCCCTCACGGGAGGGACTCCCGCTACATTGTTGCTGCTTTGGAAGGGCTGGACTTGGAAGACACGGAGCCCTCAGTGATGTGTTGCCCTCACGGGAGGGACTCCCTCCTACGTTCAATGGTCCCTAGGAGTTTTGGTTCTGAAGCCGCGATTCGCGGCATGGGCTCTCTACAGGCTTTGTTTTAGTTTCTGGTTATCTTGCACCTGAGTAAGTACCTGCAGGCAATCTTGCATAGCCCAAAATTACAAGAAGTTAAATCCCATTTAGTTTCCTTTTGAAGTCATCTCTGTAATCTAACTTTGTTTACAGGGATTGGTTAGGTAGGAATTTTATCTACCAAACAGCAAATAACAGCCACTATTTACTAAACAACTTAGAACAGTTGCCAGTATACATTTTCACACAGCAGAAAACACAAGATTTACATTTATAGTCTAAAATGTGAGTTGACCCATTACAAAGTATACATTTTTACACAACAGAAAATACAAGATAGGGGCCGGGAAGATGGCTCAATAGAATAAGTGCTTCCCTGGCAAGTGCAAGGGCCTGAGTTCAATCCCTGGTTCCATAAAAAAAAAAAAAAGAAAAGAAAAGAAAAAGAAAACACAAGATTTACATTTATAATCTAAAATGTGAGTTGAGCCATTACATATATGGTCTTTTCCTAATGAGTGAAGTGTCTTTATCTTTTGCTTTAAAAATCATGGGTTCTTCAAGGTAGATGTCATGCTGTCAAAACTTTTATGGATCCAAATTATGAATGAGAAATTAGTAAAATAGTGCTCCACAAATAAACTGCTCGTTTGCTACTTTCAAAATCTTTCCAAGACTTGTACTTAAGCTAACAGCTTTATATGGGCATGTCTTGGAAAGCCAAATGTGAATAAAACTTATCAAGGGTGAGTCCCTAGTTGGCTTTCAGCTGGACTTTTTTAGCCTTAGATAATAGGTGTTTACAAAGATGACTTCCTTAGATTAACCTGATCATAGTGGGTGTGTCCAGATGTGTCTTTGACTTGATGCTTTGCGTATCTCCTTTGTTGCTTCTAAGGGATTAAGCATCACAGTATTAAAGCTAAAGCTGAAACACTGGGAACTACTCAAGTGCACAACAGCAAGTGATAGGGAAATTGAATAGATATGTGCCCCTTGCCTATAATGGGATCTGTAAGGCCATTGAAAGAAGTTGGATAGCAAATGTGCAGTGAGAGAAAGGAGCATATTTCTCCCCATTGTGATGGCCTGAAGCAGCCTGCTGTGTGAGCCAACTGGTTTATTGCCAGCTGGCTGGGAAAAATAAGGTCACTGTTGACTTCAGGAAGTACAGCTTTGTTTCTTGGTAGAGGGTAGCTTTTCTAGGAAATCAGCACACTTTCAGTTTCATCTGTGGGTCTGGTTTTCAAACTATGACCTTCACTTCTATTTTTGTTTATCAATTCTCTTTTGGTGTCCCATTTAGACCAACAATGAGGTCATTACCCAAGGGGCAAGCACCACCCTGGTCACCAAGTGTTTTTCATTACCAGCTTGATTGCGAAACAGGCTCAGAATTGTCAGAGATTTCTGACGATTGGAGCTAATGTAGTTTTTACTGCTCAGTTCTCATAGACCCTGTCTGATGACTGAGTATAAGTCTCTTGAGAATATGACATCTAAGGAACATTTTTCCATGTATTGAATAGAAATACATTTTCAAAAAATATCCCAAAGCTGAGGTGTCCAGGAGCCAACACTTGGGCAACTACCTAAATAGATCAACTGATTGTGTCTCTTTGATTACATGAAATATCTGGATCCCATCCTTTAGATCTTTAAGATTCTGGACTAAAAATCCTCATTTATTGATCGAGAATGAGTACTTTTCTCCAAGAAGACCTCAGACTCCTTTCTGTGTCAGGGTATCAAGAACTCTTTTGTTGTGTACCACTGTTGAAGCTAAACTGCTTATGTCTGATTATGTTTTATGTTTTTCTTCCTTTCTTCCTCCCCGTCCCTCCTTCTTTTTTCTTTTTTGGTAATGGGGACTGAACTCAAGTCTTTGTACTGAATGATATTCATAGTTCTTTATTATTACTATTATTATTATATAATTATTATTAGTAGTATTAGTATTTTTTTTGAGCTAAATTTCTGCTAAATTGTTCAGGTGGGACTCAAACTTTTGATTCTTTTGTCTTGATCTCCCAGAGTGCTGGGATTACACTACACCTAGTTTCAGATTAAATTTCTTGAGAATTTGAAGTGTCACAAACTGTTTTCAAGAGTTGGAGAGGGCTAGGGAGATGGCTCAGTGGAATAAATGCTTCCTTGGCAAGCGCAAGGGCCTGAGTTCAATCCCTGGTTCCACCAAAAAAAACAAAACAAAAGAGTTGGAGAAATAGCAGAGCTTGGTGATGCACTCCTATAATCTCAGCACTTGGAAGGCTGAGGCAGGAGGATTGATGTGATTTTGAGGTCAGATTGGGTTATGTAGTAAGATCAAGGCCAGCCTGAACTGCATAGTGAGACTCTGTTTCAAAAATACCAGAGAGGGAGACCTGAGTTCAGTCCCCATTACCAATCCTCCTGCCTCAGCCTTCCAAGTGCTGGGATTACAGGAGTGCATCACCAAGCTCTGCTATTTCTCCAATTCTTTTGTTTTGTTTT